TGGCAGCTTATGGCAATTTTATCACATTCTTGACTAATTTCTGGAATTTTATTCTAAGAGAATAGCATAAGAATATACATAAAATTATTTATTATAGTACTGTTTATAACTAACGAGAAGCATTTAGTGTACAATGGACGGATGCTTAATCACGGAATTCCAGAACATCCAACACTTGTTGAAATATATTGTGTTAAAGGTCAGCACAAGATGAATACTATTTTTGCTAGAAGAAAGGAAAGTACAAGATTATATGTATTTATTCCAGCGTGCAGTTACACAATGACTACTTGTGTGTGTGTGGACAAAACCTGTCAGGCAAGAGGGAGACTTGAAAAAGCTAATACTTCTGGTGACATCAAGGTATATGAAATTCAGATACTTTTCATTGCTATCGTTTTGTTCAGTAACAAAAACACTTTAAAACATATGCTGTCTTATGAGTGTGTGTGTGTGTGTGTGTGTGTGTGTGTGCATTTGTTCTTTTTGAAACAAGGTCTTGCTATGTAGTTTAGGCTAGTCTGGACTCAAAATGTAGTTCAGGCTGGCCCCAAACTCACAGAAATCCTCCTGCCTCAGCCTCAAGTGCTGGGATTACAGGTCTGTGCCACCACACCTGGTGTGGATTTTTGTATTAAATGTTGAGTATTTCATAATCAGGTAGGTGTCACGTTTCTGCCCTTCATATACAGCTGTTGTCCCTAAACTACTGAGTTGGCCTTCTTTACCCAGTGCCATGAAACACCGCCTTTATGATCCACGCGTGCCTGTGTCTTTAGACCTCATCTTTTAGGATCCACCTGGTCCCTTGCTGCACTATTTATGTTACCCTGCTTTTTATTCTACTTGCTGTGTCGCAGGACAAGTGCTCACCCCTCTCCTCACAGCTGAAATAGTTATTCTTTCTTACATGTTTTGTTTCTATTCCTTTGTATTTACTTTTTCAAAGGCACTTTAGAATAAACTTACTGAATTCCTTTTGAAGATACTCAGTTTGAGTTTTGATCATATACATTCAATTTATAGACTCCTTTGCCTAGCGTAACTTCTCTTTTGTTTCTGGAAGTTTTTGGTGAAATAGCTGAGAGTTTTGTACTGGAGATAAAGTTCATAGACATGTGATAACGTATCACTATTACTTCAGCAGAGACTCAGCAAGTCTGATATCGATGCCAACATATTTACTTAGGCAAGATGATAGCTTTTGATTGCCCAAATCAAAGAATGCAATAGGATCCAGATGGGGAGATGAAAGAGGTACAATGTGATTCTGTACACGGGACTTGATTTTTACAGTATATGAAACAAGTGGCGATTTAGAAGAAATAGCAGCAGAAGTGACCCCTGTGGTTAGAAACACTCCAGTCTTGGCTGAAGGTGTCACCCATGTGGCTTCTTATTTATTCTGTCATCACTGCTTGGTGGATTCTAGCAGTTTGAGTGTCTCCTGAGCCTCATATTCCTTTTCTCAATTCAGAATTCTTTTTTTTTTTAATGTATTTGGTACAGGATCTCACTACGCAGCTTGGACTCCTAGTGATCCTCCTGTTCTCAGCTTCCCCAGTGCTGGTGTTACAGGTGTGCAACACCCCATCCAGTCTCTGTGGCCAGCTCAGCATGCCCGAGGCCGAGTTGGCACAGCATCTGGTACCGGGGATCGAACCCAGGTCCCTGCTCTTGCCTAGGCAGGTGCTTAGACTGCTGAGCTATCTCTGTGGCCCCCTGCAATTCTTATTTTTTTATCTTCACATCTTCTTTGTCTTCCTCTTCTATCTATCCACCACCTTTGCTCTCCTTTTCTCCCTCTGTTGTTTTCTCTGCCTTCTTCCCCTTCCACAATGTCTTTGTGTCTCCTGATGTCACTGTGATGCTAACTCAGGGACTCTTTTTTTCTTGCTGAATGTAATACTTGGGGCTAGGACTTCCAAGCTTCTCTCTATAATGGATTCCTCTCACTGCTGACTTGAAGGTTGTTTATCTTTGCCAACACAAAACAGGAGTGGCTCTGGAGAGGGCACCATTGCGAATTGCAGGATGGGACAAGTGGGGGGGGGTAAAACATGAGGAAAAATTGAGATTAAGCTCTTTGCTAAGTGGCAGTTCTCGTTCACCCAACCAAATAGTTTGGTTTTTTTTTTTGCGGAACCGGGGATTGAACTCAGGTCCTTGCACTTACCAGGGAAGCGCTTATTCCATTGAGCCATCTCCCCAGCCCCACCCAACCAAATAAAATAGCGATATGACCACTGCTTGGACTAGAGGCAGATTAGCTGTCTTCATGATCTATAAAATCTTTCATCTATTTATATAATCTGTCTTCTATTAAGGAAAAAAACCCACAAGCAGCTCAGTTCAGATACTGTTCTAATAATTAGCAGTCCCTTTAGCAACCAGGAACACAAAACAAGTTGTTCTTCCTTTTTTAGGAAATGGAATTTCATCCAAGTTTCCTCTTTCAGTCATGTCAGATATTTGTTATTGTTTTAGTCTTGTCTTGTCTTTTTTTTTTTTTTTTTTTTTTTTTTGGGAACTGGGGATTAAACTCAGGCCCTTGCGCTTGCCAGGCAAGCACTTATTCAACTGAGCTATCTCCCCAGCCCCTTTTCTTTTCTTGGCATGTTACTTTCCACTGATTATGCGTGTGTGTGCGCGCGCGCGTGCGTGTGCGTGTGTGTGTGTGTGTGTGTGTGTGTGTAGGCCCATATTCAGAGAGGAAATGGTACAAAATTACAGACCAGTGATTTTTTTGGCAGAATATTATCATTTGTATTTATACAGGTTCATAATTTCGAGCACGTGTGTGTGTGTGTGTGTGTGTGTGGTCTCTCTGTGTGTGTGTTTGTGCACACCTGTGCATGCGTTTATTTGATTGCAAACAGCTACGAAAGCTATATAGCTTTTTTACTTAAAATATTTTAGGCGAAATGCCTATACGGCTGCCAGGAGGAGGAGGAGCCGTGGACCCATCTTAGTTTTGCTTCTGACCATGTAACTCGGCATCCACTCATGGCTCACACTGTGGTACCTTGCGCTGCTGTAGGGATTGTCAGGCCGACAGGGATCCAAGTGCCCTCCCACCGCCACCCCACCCCCAGCAGGGGACCATGTGACTTCTTTCTGCTCACTTTCCCCTCCTCTCTGGGGTGAAGAACTCTCAGAGAGCAGGTTTGTTTTTGTTGGGTGAGCACCCCAGAAGCCCAGGTGCCTCTCTGCACTGGGCGAGCGCTGGAGGTCCTCCAAAGTGGGTGACCCTTTCCACCCCTGGATTCCACTTTGTTGCTGCTCCCGCAGGCTGGGTGGAATGTGCTCTGTTCCCGGAGGCCCCACTCAGGGCTCCCAGTCTGAGAATCCACAATCCTGCAAAGCCACTGAGGTGACCCAGCGGGCTGGGCTGTGACTGCTGCTCCCAGGGCGTAGCTCTGCTGACTCACCCCACCCCACCCAGCCGGCCTGCCCCAGCGCCACACAGAGCCTCTGCAGGCTGCATGCTTGGGACCACTGCTGCTCCACTTCCTTTGGTTCTTGCCCTCAGAGTGCCCGGTTGGCCAACCCTCTCTTTGAGACCAAGGCACTTTTTAGGGATATGTGCCAACCAAAGCTTTTAAAAGAAAGTGTACAGCCAGGCTGGGTGGTAAAGAGGGCTTGGAAATCCTCTGACAAGGTAAATAGCAAATGTGACTGGCACAGGAGGTGTGGAGGCAAGTGTCTGTACTGATTTGACAAAGTTGGTGATTATTTAGTGGTCCAGTCAAAGATTCGGACAAGGCTGAGAATGATTACCATGAACCTTTGTACTAATAATGGAATTTTAGGTACAGTATAAAAAATAAGGGGCTAGGGAGATAGCTCAGTAGAATAAGCGCTTGTCTAGCAAGTGCAAGGGCCTGAGTTCAATCCCTGGTTCCGCAGAAAAAAAGAAAAGAAAAGAAAGGGCTAGGGTGATAGCTCAGTGGAGTAAGTGCTTGCCTGGCAAGTACAAGGTCCTGAGTTCAATCCCTGGTACCACAAAATTAAAAAAAAAAAAAAAAAAAAAAAAATTTCAGCAATTAACCACTAAGAAGAATATATGCAGTGTGTTATTTGTTGAAACTGTACTTCCGATTTGATTTGAAACTGTCTCATTGCTGTTTATCAA